TCTTACTTCAATGGATTGAAATTCATATTCTGTTGGCACAATTTGTATATTGTACTATTGTTGTTTCATTTCATGTTGTATATTCGTTCCTTAAACATTTTCTTCGGCATTTCATGTTTCACTTCCTAATGCATTCAGTCCTCATCTGAGCTTTTGGTATTATAGGAAATGCTTAAGGAACGAGGAGTGGCACCATTCTCCAAATGGGAGAAGGAACTTCCCAAAATAGTGTTCGATCCTCGCTTTAAGGTTCGCTGTTTTCTGTACAATGAATTATTCTTCGGGTTTTGAGGCATGTTCATTTTATAGATTTTTTTCCTCTTAAAAGTTCTTGAGTTTATGCTGCTCATAGAAGTTTCTTTATCTTGGAGTATATCCCCCAAGTTTTTTGGTTGTCCGGATGTGCTCTCAGCGTTCCATTTCTCCTACTTGTACTTGCGCTCGTTTGTTATCTGCGTACATTGACACTGTGACCTTAACTGGGTAAAAAATATATGATTATATTCATATGTTGACATCAGCTAGAGTTGATGTGATCCCTTTTTATCTTTAACCATTTCGGTATCTAAAGGCTCCAGTTTTGTTAATCAGTTAAATATGTAGAGCCTGGAATACATTTGGAAAGATGTGACCATTTTGTTTTGCCATTAAGTACATCTGATAAGTTGTTGCTAAGAAAAGGTATTTATTCCAGCCAAGTAAACAGGCATTGTTGCTTGCTTCTTCTGTCACTCCTTCGTGTATGCAATGGATTATGCTGCATTTTGTTCATAAATAAATAATTAACTAGATTTTATCGAGTGATAATGTAAAATAAGGACAATCAAGGACTCTGAGAGAAAACTCTTGTCGGACAAATACTAGTCTCCCAAGCCAAATAGGCTGAATATGGAAGATATTTTTCCCATACATCGTTCTTCTCAATCCTGTTACTTATATACTAATATTCTTAATGTAAGTCCCCTAAATCAGCTATTAATAAGTTACCATCTTCCCAGTCAAAGATTTTCTCTAAGGTCTTGCCAGTCAATTATTTCTCCATATCTTCCTATCAATTATTTATTCCCCTAATTACTTGGATACAGTGGTATTCTTGTTAGCTCTATCATTCATGGGAATTGTGTGGTGTTATGATTATTATATCATGGTTTTATGATTATTATATCACCTGATACTAAAGTTATCTTGTGATTTTGGATTAGCTAAAGATCAGTGGAAGAATAATAGTTGGGTGTGGAACACGGTCCAATGTTTTATATGATCTGGCATATCGAGGACATATAAGGCTTTTTAGTCTGTTGGTTCAGTATAACAAATATGAGATTTAGGGAATCAGTTTGTTCCATTGGAAATACTCAGATCAGATGCTTGTCACTACTATAAAAATGTCAATATACGTAATTATCTAGGAGAATCTGACTCTGGCTGAATAGTTGATTCAGGTTTAAAGTTTACAAAACCTAGTTAATGACTGTTTCTTGCTTAGAGTCTTTGATGATCTATTGTATAAGGTTTATATGGAAAGTAATGCGTGAAAAGTTCAGATGCCATTCTCAGGATTTCTGTCAAATAAGTTGACATGCTTAAAAGTTAGAATGCGTGTTTTATCTGCTACTTGTTTATTGTGTCCTGCCACCAAAAGTATTTTGCTTAATATTATATGTCATTACTGTGTGATGTCTAAAATTGCTGTCTGTATAAGCAACTTTGATTGTTTCATTTCAAAAATTTATGACTGGATCTGGATATCAAAACTGATTATTGGACTGGGAAAGGTGTAACAGGGATTTGTAAGAAGTATTCAAGCTTTAATTTTTATTTATTCTATGACCACTTCAATTGAAAGTTTTCTCGAAAGGATTAATTCTCGCAATTTCTGATTTTATCTGCAACTCAACTGGTTCTTTAACATGCTTTCTTCTTATGCTGTGACCTTATTGGTGCTGACAGCGGAAATACCTTTTTGATTGTTTCATGAGTCAATTTGTTGCAGGCTGTTCCAAACCATGATGCGCGAAGAGCTATTTTTGAGCATTATGTCCGGACACGTGCTGAAGAAGAGCGTAAGGAAAAACGAGCTGCTCAAAAGGCGGCTGTGGAGGGTTTCAAGCAGTTACTAGAAGAAGCGAAGGAGGTTTGATGCAATTGTCTCCTATTAAAGTATACTCTGTTTCTTTTGGAATTTGAATTCTGCATAGACCTTATGAGATTTAAGGGGTACTAAGAGAGTCTTTGACTTTTAGGAGATTGACCATAAAACTGATTTTCAAACATTCAAGAGGAGATGGGGTGATGATCCACGGTTTCTGGCCTTGGACAAGAAAGACAGGGAAACTTTGCTGAACGAGAGGTATGGTTAATTGCTGCATTTGGTTCTTATACCAAAAGTATTGGTGGGGTAACAATCTGTAGTTTGTTTCTACATTTGGTCCTGTTGGACTCGGTGATTTTTCATGTGATGGATTACAAATGGGTTACTAGTTATAATAGGTAGTTGGCCTAGCATAATACAAATAAAGTTAGTTATCCATTGAAATTAGTTCTTAAGTTCCTCATTCCCATTTGTATATGCGTGGGTTACCATCCGTAAGTCCATATCAATTTTGCTAATATTTAAACAACAACAACAACAACAACAACAACAACAACAACAACAACAACAACAATTTAAAACTTGTAGAAAATGCAAATTAACTCAATGAAGCTGCTAAGCTGACTATACTCTGATAGTAATTCGGGCCTTTCAATAAGACTTCAACCCAGCTAAGTCTCTTGTGTATAGCTACTTAATGTGAGCTTGTTTTAGTCTTTTCTTGTTTCCTATTTGCTTTCAGGGTTTTGCCTCTGAAGAGGTCCGCTCAAGAAAGAGCTCAGGCAGAGCGTGCTGCTATAGTATCTAATTTCAAGTCGATGCTTCAGGACAGGAAAGATATTACCTCGAGTTCCCGCTGGTCAAAGGTGGGTTGATGATATTAGTAAAAATGATCTGATTATCCCAATGTTGTGGACATAGTTAATGGTCAATTATTAGTCATAAGAGGCCAAATTATAAAAACAATGATGTAGATGGTGCAATTATTATATGATGAAATATTGAAATGGCAAAATCAACCCTCAATTATCAAAGAGGGCAAAAACACAAGTCAGAGCTAACATTAGCCCCTGAGAAAATAGAATTGGAACCACAAAAATAACATTAGAAACGAAAAATAGAATCAACTAAAGAAGAAAGNAAAAAAAAAAAAAAAAAAAAAAAAGGGCTTGGCATTGGTGTACTTTACTATCTCTTCTGTACCAAACCACTAGGGAATAGATAGGTAAAGTTGGGACAAGTCTAAACCCTCACACTTACGTAGGACCCTGCTGTTAAAATAGAGACGGAATATAAAATTAAAATGAAGATATAAACTAACTAGGAAATGGAAAATAGAAACAGAAACTAATAATGAAAATGTGAAGCAGAAATCTAAACGAAAGTAGGTCGGGCTGGGGTTGAAACCAGAAAAAGAAAGAATAAAGAAAAGAAGAGGACACTAATTTCATGGGGATCTGTGGAGGTCAGATGAGGTATTGGCGGCGCCAAGATGGTGGATGGTGGTCATAAATGATTGGGTCGGCCGTTGGTCCCTCCAATTTTCGGATCTGAGTGCTTAATTGGGTTCTTTGCCTTAGTCGCAAAAACCCTAGTTGGGGTGCAAAGTTTCAGATTGAAGGGTAGGAGAGTTTTAGGTCCCGATTTTACAAGTGTCACAGTGTCCTTTCCTATTAATACATAACACTGGACGGGGCCTTGGGGTGAGGCGCACCTCTGTGGCGCATTTGGCTAGAGGAAAGGCACCCACCTTGGCGACGGAGCTGCCTGATGCAGTTTCGGATTGCTCCTGCCGCCTTTGTGGCGCCATTTTAAAGTTTAAACTCTGGTTGTGGAACCAGAACAGACGAATTGTTAACACATTTTTTAGATACTCACATCACTGCACATTGCTATGTGCATTGGTTTTTGGCATTAGTACTACAAGGGAGAGATGAGGGGTTGACCCTTCTAGTTGATGGTGCTAATCTGAATGGATGGTAATTGTAATGTTCTTGTTACCATAGTTTTCGATGCAAATATCTTTCAATGGCTCTTAAGACTTAACACTATGTATATAAAATTATAAACTATTATGCAGTGAAGTGAAGAGCTATGTGTAGCATATTTAAAATGAAATAAGTTATACCTGGCTCTACACCAGCATTTTCTTGAAAAGTTGTATGGTTTCCATTTAGATTATTGACATGGTGAAGTTTGTCATGCTGCTCAAGATTCTAATAACTCATCGGTGGATAAATCTTCATTTGTTGCACTTTTCTGTTTGTGAATCCATGGTTGTTCATTGATGATAATGGGGTTGCTCTACATGAAACTGAACAGTACATGAACACGTCACTGCATGTCTCTTCCCCTAGATTTTCAAGAACTATTTGTTGAGGAAACAAAATGCTGTCAGACTAACTTGTATTTGTATTATCTGTCTATGTCATTCTGGTTCCGTGATAGCTGAATAGCCTGCAAGTATGCTGTCCATGGGCTGGGTAGATTGCATTACATACTACTTTGATATGAACTATGAAGACACCCTTTCCTATGTGAGAGCGAATGAGTTGATTTTTTTTCCATCATAATATACCATGTTTCTTCCAAATAAAGTAGGCAAGATGGTTTGATATTGATAATGTCGTAAGTGAGTATAAAATTTCATACATTTGACGAAGTGATTTGATCCTCTAATAGTACTAGAAATTGGAATTGAATTGGTTTTGTATTTGGATAATACATATGCGTGCAATCTATCTATCTTTAGAATAAACAGTAGATTTTCCTTTTATACTGTTTGAAAATTGATTGAACTCGGATAATTGATTGGAACCGGTTGATTTTTAAGAGTTCATAAAAATGGGCAGCTCAAAACCTTATCTATTAAATTAATATATAAGGGATTTTAAACTCCATGAAAACAATGCATGCATTCCATATTTTGAACTGGGTTGTAAATTGTAACAGTAAGTGCCTCCTGTGATTCTTTTGGTTGACATCTTTGGGGAGGAAGAAGGCACACATCTTGAGGGATCATTCTTGACTAGCAGTTGAATTTGGTAAAATTTTACATGCGTGTGTCTTTAAGGTGATGCAAGACACAAGGATTGGTTACCATTCTACTTTCAGAGTGACCTATTGGGAGATTAGCAAGCAGTTTATACGTAATCTATTCTGCTGTTTAGGAAGACTTCTTTCCTTGTCATTTATTTGTCAGCTCAAGTACATGGCGTGAATTTTATTTCGCAACTGCTTTGAAAATCCATGCTAAGTATTTTTACTACATATAACAAATATGATCTTTCTCTTTGGCAGGTGAAGGACAGCTTAAAAAGTGATCCAAGATACAAGTCTGTCAAGCATGACGACCGGGAGAAGTTGTTTGATGAATATGTTGCTGAATTGAAAGCTGCTGAAGAGGAGACAATGCGGAAGGCAAAAGCAAAACAGGACGAGGAGGTGAGATATATTCCCATTCCCAATTATCTTCTTCCATGATAAACTTATTGCTTTGTGATATTATGATTCTAGTTCCATTAGTTTCGGTTAAGTATTGATGATCGGAGGAAAAACTAATAATTTTTATGTATGTTCTATCTTTTTGTTCTTCTCAGTCATTATCTAAATGGTAAATGGTATCTAATGTTGTACCATGTAATTTCAGCGCATTGTTTAAAGTTGCAAGTCCCTCTATATTTCTCCATTAAAAATTTGATATTTTTTTTGGGTACAGTTTCATAATGTGCCAGTATATTCTGAAGTCAATGTGCCTTCCATATTAAAGTGTAAAATTCCATTTTCTATTTTCTTGATTTCATCTTGAATGTACGATTGCAGTCCAATCTTGTTCTGATCAAAGCAAAGAAGCCCCTTGTGTTTGAATAAATGGCAAAAATCTTTAATCTTTTTTCTGTTGAATTTCTGCCATTTGTATCTCAGTGACAAATGTCCAACCTGCTTGCAGTTGTATTAGTTTATTCTGTTTAGTGATAGCGACAGTTGCTCTTGAATTAGTCATTAATTGTTTATATTGCTTCATCATGTATTCATGTGGTTATTTATTTGTTCTGTGGTTGTGCTTCTGTGCTACTTGCAGGAAAAACTGAGGGAAAGAGAACGATCTCTACGCAAACGAAAAGAAAGAGAGGAACAAGAAGTTGAGAGGGTGAGGCGAAAAGCTCACAGGAAGGAGGCTATTGAATCATATCAAGCTTTATTGGTAGAAACAATAAAAGATCCTCAGGTATAAACCTGCTCCCGATTTTTGGATGTTTGGAATTAATGTACCATCCAGTTCTTATGGCAATCAACCGATCTCGTATACAGAGATTATCTATGTCATTTGCTCAACTAATCAATATAATGTGACCAAATTCACTTTCCTTTAACATGACATTGTAATTTAGCTTGTGAAGGAATTCTGGAGGTAGCTGAACCTTAACAAATATTAAGTATCATTCTTGAATTCATTGATGTAGGCTTGCAGAATTTATCTGACTCTGAGAAGGTATTCTCAGTTCCAGATTAACAGCAAAACACCTTGACTTTGTGTGCTAAGGATGAGAGATAGTTCTACCTTTTGAATCTTGTAGAGAACTAATAGATATCATAACGGAGTGGAGGGAGTTCATGGCAAAATCTAGTTTGGTCAACATTTATAGAAAGTTAGAAGCATCTGCGTCATGTTGCATTGTTTTAGTGACCAACAATAATCCTTAAGAGATGATTGAAGGTTATGTGATATTCCTCACATTATTGGTTGAGTTTTAATCGAGATTATATTGCTTGATTTGTGTGTGAATTGTCTTCTTCT